TAAATATTCGATTTTAACTGCACAGTTTTAACTGTACAGTTCAAACTAAAGTTGTGTAGACAAAATTTGAATTATCATTTAAATATTCGATTTTAACTGCACAGTTTTAACTGTACACTTAAACTGCAGGAAGCTTTAATGGATTCTATATGAAAGTATTAAGTTTATGTGTATATTTGCCTCATTGCGCCGTAGTTTTCCACTACTACAGAAACATATCGTCATAGTTCTAATTCTATTTGAAAATGCTAAGTTAAGAATACGTTTTGTCTAGATATTTTGTTAATTATACCATGTTTTAAATTACATTTTACATACCGTTATATCAGCAGTTGCAACGCTGATTATGGCAGCCACGATTAACGTTTTCATTTTGCCTATTTTTTTTTTAATGAAACTGTTCAAATATACATAGAGAGTGATTGCGTTGCTATAACGCGTTGATAATCGTGACAAAATATTAATCACTTTTAGTTAATTGCAATTATCGACATCACACGTAATTTTTGTGATATAAATTTTATATTTTCTTAATTGTTATTTATTATTTCTTAGTTTCATCAACCTCCATTTATCCCGACGGAGGGTCGGCAGGTGTACTCCTCCATACATGTATCAGACGTCATATCTGAATCACCTCCTTTTTACACATATCCTCTTTCATACAATCCATCCATACTTTCTTTGTTCTTGCTCTACCTTTGTAGCCATCCACATTTAATCTCATTACTAATTTATAAATTTTTAGTATGCGTTAAAATTTTTAATGTATTTTCTAGGTCATAGAGAAAAGAATATGACTCGAAGAATGAGACTCGAAACTCACTCTTCCACGAGAGATGATAACGGAACCGACCAAACAACTATTATGAATAAATGTGGCAAAGAACCTAAACTGAATATCTAGTAAGTGAGCTTTTTTATATACTTGTCTACCACAATTAATAGTATTGAGTTTGTTAAATATCTTAGCGGCTCAAACATCTTACGAGTCGCTACGCAGAGCAGAATGTTACTTATAGCAAGAGTAAAATAATGCGGAGGAAAGACACTGCGCAAATGACCTTGAGCCGCCAAGATATTTGAAAAGGTGTGTATTACTACCATTGTTACTTATAAGAAAGTCATAGGAACAACTCTTTAATTGGTATTAAAATGGCTTTTAGTGACTTAACTGCTCTCTTTAGGGAATAAATAAAAGTTTTCGTGTTTCACTAATTTATTTCTATCACATTTTATAAGATTTGTGACAATTTCATAAACTAAAAAAGCAAACATAAGTAATAACAAATATTGCACAAATGAAATTAATTCAAACTAAATCAATTGCTAACTTTTATTAACTTCAATTTTAGTTGGACTTTTGCTATCAGAATTGTCTTGTTTCACATCTTGTGATGCAAGTTCCGGGTGTTTGGATATATTTTCTGTTAATTCTTCTTGTACGGGGTTTGAATCTATTGTTTCTTCTTGAGGGTTGACTTCCTCATATTCTGTAGGATATTCTTGAGCATATTGCTGATCTTCATAAGTTTCCCCTTGATAGTTACCTTCAGGTGGATAATTTTCAAATTGGTTGTCGTACTGCTGTGGGTATTGTTCGTAATTTTCATACTGAGGTTCTACATAAGTTTGTTCTAAATTCTGTTCGTTTTGGTTTGGATTTTGTTCATATTCTTCTTGATTATATTCTGTATTAGATGGGGTTTGTTCATAATTTTGATCGTATTGTTCATAATTTTCATCTGTATAATTTTTATTCTCTAGTTGTTCATGGACTTCTGTAGGTTGTTCGATTTGTTCATTTGTGTTGTTTATTTCTTCATTTGTTTGATGTGTGATAATTTGATTTATTTGTTCATGTGTGTTAGTTTCTTCTTGTGAGCTTGGTTGTGCTTTCTGTGTGTCTTCTATGATATGATGGCTGTCTTCTTCTACTCTTGTTGTTTGGTCGTTATCACTGACAAGTCTGTCCGGTTGCTCAGTCGGCTGTTGTTGGAGCGTGGCGTGTCCGGTGGAGTCATCTCCGGTATTGTCTCGTCGGGTATCGGCTGTGGGATATGGTGTAGTCCGGTTGGTTGTGGTAGTGTGCGGGGAAGGTGCTGGAAATAATAAATCACATTATGATGCTATAAGTTTTGCCATTTTTTTCCTACCTGTGAGTCGATGGGGACCTGTTACCACATATATATCCGGTGACTTTGAACGGTGATTTCATTTTTATATACCAACTTTAAGGTTGCAAACGAGCTACCAGCTTACGAACCTGAATTCGCTAAAATAGCAAATTCACAGCTGCTCACCGACATCCCCAAGCTAAAACCATCATCCTTCCCCTTTCGTTTGTCATTGTTCAGTTGTTAAAGGTTTCTTGTAATGGAGATTAGTAAGACATACCTTGATAATTGCTAGGTGCAGTCGTGACGTTCGTTCGCAGCGAGCGACCGAGCATCTCTACTTGACGCTGCAGAGTTGCCAGTTCTTGCCTGCACACACACACATGTGACAACACACAAACACGTGCGACACAAAACAAACATGCATCACGTTGTAGATAGATTTATTTTTCTCCTTGGATGTCTCAAAATTTATTTACAGAAATAAACAATTGGTTGATTAAATTTTTCCGATGTAGAGATTTTTCTGAATGACTTGTGGTTATAATTTTGTACTGGCTAAGCATGATTAATATCCAAAGCAAGATCAGGACAGAAATTATGCTGCTTTATATACTATTTTATCTATAGTTACGCTATTTAGCTTCATGCATGATTAACAATATATAACATTCCAAACACACTCTACCATCTACGTACAAATAATACTCTAAAACAAGTTCGAACGTTTGAAAGCTTCTGTTCTTTTACCTTTAACTGATCATCATCAGAATCAATAATTTTATCAATTGATAGATCGCTGAAATTACTCGTCAAATTACTAATATCTCTAGCTGAGTTTAGTTCATCGTCCAATCTTCTAAATCTATTTCTATATGTGTTAGGTGTCGAAGTATAGTAGGTGCGATCTAAATCATAAGATGATCTGCTATTTGGATAACCACTTAATGGCGTGTAACTTCTATAAGGTGGTAGGGTGGTGCAATATTTCTTATGAGAAGACCAAAGGTTTCGAAGTTTCCTCATAAGTTCCACATTCCTGCAAAGCAAATGTGTCTTTTCTCCTCTGAAATGTAATTAGTGTGATTACTATCTAGGATGATTTATGTGGATTTTTTTAGTCAAAAGCAATGAATTTAAAGCTTTTATTGTATACATAGCGATTGTTATCATTACTCCAGTAGTGTTACAAAACGATGTGTTCAAAGTTGTAACATGTTACATAAACAACTTTCAATAACGTATAGAAATAAGTAATATTAAATAACAACATAATGAGTGAAAATTTTCACGTAAATTCAATCAAATTAAAAACAAAAAATATCTTAAAGATTTGATTAGTTACAATAAATTACTAAATTAACTTCCTTTTTTAACATTTCAAAAAAAAATATTAACAATCTCATGATATTAAAAAAAAAACAATATTTAAGGTTAGAATTGCACAATTATAGAGCTATGAATAATAAACTTAATTTAATATAACATAGGAAAATTTTCATTCTTAGAATTCTAAACATTCCTGACTTTTACAACTTGTCCATTTTTAGCTCTTTAAGAAAAGTAAAACATTGCATAACAAATGGCTAATCGTATACAAAAAAGGATATAAATAAGTTCGTGAAATATAGACTAAAGCATTAAGCCTATTCTATTTCTTATTTTCATCTATTTGTTCGTTTTCATTTATTCCTGTTTCTACTTTTAATTCCATATCATTAGTATTTTCAACTTCTGCTGATTCAACTATACCATCTAAAGTTTTATCTACTTGTGATTCAACTAAATCATTACTAGATAGATCTAATTCTTCGCCATCTTGATTTTTGTCACTATTTATCTTAGGACTGTTTAAATTATTAGTGATTTTAGGAATTTCATCTGTTTCATTAAGCACTTGAATGTCGCCATTTGTGACTACCATACTTATATTATTTTTGACAGGTTTACTAAGTGATGTTATATCTACATGTGATTCACGTCGTTTCCTATCTCTTTTCCTTGGCTTTGGTATTAGTTTGACGCTGATGTCAACTTTGATAGGCTCCTTTTTCTCACGTAAAAAGGGCTGTTGAATCATCAACGGTAAATTGTATATTTTCTCGCCATGGTAATTAGAGAGATCCTGATTGGTCGTCAATGGTCCAACTATTATCGGTTGGTTATTCGACGAATCGGACTCTTTTCCTGAGCGGTGCTTGCGACGATTCTCCGTTTCTCTTGATGTTGATCTGTCGGGTTGTGTTCTGATTGGTTCGTCTACACGGCCGCGACTCTGCGCTCTGCCTGCCACCAATAAAAACACAACACGACGTTAGGATAGACTCATCAGGGGCAATGATAACAATCAGCTATTTAACTGACAATTTAAATTGTGCTGAATTTTAAATTTTAACTATAAACCGACAAACTTATCTAACCCGGTGGGCATAAGTGACACTATAGACCGACAAGGATATCTGACACGATGGGCATAAATCAAACTAATGTATTATAGCTTACCAGCGCCACTTTATAAGTGAAAAAAAAGTGTCACAAGATCCTTTTTGTACTGTATTTGTCATGTGTTTATTTTACGTAATTTTCTATGCTTAAATAGATTTTACATATTTTCTGACAACTAATCGCGACAGCAGCGCCTCTCACCGGTTGAGATATGTTTGTCGGATTTAAATTTGGAACTAATTTTGCGCATGCTTAAATTTGTAAAAATGTCTCGTACTTGTGCCTACGATTTGCGTCGTCGAGCTTGTCTGTAAGCAAACGACATTCGCCGGTGAGTTTCTCCATCAGACTGTTTTGTGATTGTATCATGGTCTCCAACTCAGCCACGGTTTTAGCTGTGGACATTTACTTCCTATAAACTTGGCGAATATCTCATAATAACTAAGTTGTAATAATAAGTGCTTAATGTAACTTAACAATCTGATGAATAAACTATTGACTTGAAGATATTTTAATAAGCCCTTTCTATTGTTATACATGCAAGCGCAAAGCGCAAATGAAAGGGTAAAGTATGAATGTTTTGAATTAATGATTCTTTAAATTAGATCTTTCTCAAAACATCAACAGTTTACCCATATTATGAATGGATTGACGATTAATAGACAAAACAGTCATAAAGTTATTTATTTAAAATTATTTTTTAAATTTCCGAAATTGAGTCCATAGACTATAATTATTGACTTACCATGTTTATTTTCCATGGACTCCAGCATTGTTGATAGTTCCTTCTCTTTTTTATTCTTCTCCGGAGATATCGGTGTCAAACTTTTCATATTTAACTGTAAAAAGATTCTTGTATCAATTTTAACCCAAAAGATTTTCCATATTTGCGCACATTATCCAGTTCCAAAGTAACCAAAACCAAAAAAAAAAGAACACTTACCTCCTTTTCCAATGTAGAGATTTGTTCAGAGAGACGTAAGTTCTCACGACGAGAGTGTACCAGATCAGCATCAGCGCGGTCTAGACGCTGACGGAGTGATTGAATCTGATTGGAGATGAAATATTTATTATTTTTTCATTTCAATCGTTTTATCATAAATAACTTTAAATTATCGTTGGTTTCTGAGACCAAAAATCCTGTATCGACATATTGTTAATGTCGAAGATAATAAGAGGGATTACTTGAGTTGTTTTATACGGGGATTTTGGTCTCAAAAACCAATGACTAGTGAGTATTATAATAAATTTAAGACCTAATAAACTTATATCGTAATTAGTAAAAAGACATAGTAGAAGTAGAAATTTATACATAATATTTTTTATTTTAATTTGTGTGTTATTGTAATTTTTAGAATTAGCAAGAAGTAAAGCAGAAGAAACTATGACGCTAATACTATGACAAAAACAGGAAAGATTTTAATAAATGTTACTTGCTCAATGACCATTAGAAATATAATTCATGATTCAAAAAATGTAGAATATCAGATTTTTACCTCGGAATTGAGTCGATTGGTTTCATGCTTCGCCTGTCTCTGTTGACGCTCTATAGCCAAACGTGCGTTGGCCAATTCCTCTTCAAGGGATGCTTTTTCTGCATTAGCCTGGGCCAAATCGGCTTGAAGTGTTGCTGGAAATACAATAATCTTCATTGAGATATCTACCATATTATTGAAAACTTATATTATGTGGCTGAAATTGGAGGTAGATATGATTCTAGGATATAGTTGATGTTAGATATTGTTATTACTAGCTGTCGCCCGGGACACCGACGGCGCGGATTTATAATTTAATTATTTGCCTATGTGTTCTTCAAGATTATGTTCTACATTTATGCCAAATTATAGCGCGATCCATGCAGCCGTTATGGATAAACCTTCAAACAAACATCCATGCATCTAAACATTCGCATTTATAATATTAGTAAGATATTTTATAACAGAAGGGGACAAACGAGCAGCGTGAACACCGAGGTGTTTAACAACGTCCATGGACATCAGCAATACCAGAGGAACCGCAGATACGTTGCCGACTTTTGAAATAGTGATACGCTCTTATTTAAGGACCGTAAGTCGTAGCGGTTTGGAAAGTAGTGGATATGTAGTTATTTTAATATCTTAATATAGTAAATGAGTTTCACCTGTTTTGTTTTTAAGTTCCATTTTAAGTTCTTCAATATTCGCATTCTTCATTGATATCTCTCGTTTCAGATCACTTTCCTCACGGCGCTGACGATCCAACTCCAACTAATCGATTTATTATCCATCAATATGTCAAAAGAAGAAAAATAGACTTATAATCATGACCAATATGTGTAGTGTCACGTATAGATCAGGATGTCCAGTCTCCAAAAGATTAACTATCCCAACTAAAGACCTTAGAAACCATTATATCTTACCTGTAACTTGGCGACATTGTCATACTGAGCTGCAAGATCGTGCTGTAACTCATCAAAATGCGCATTATAACGCTGTTCTGCGGAATTGCGCTCCTGTATCGCCCGTCTTGCTCCCTCGCCCGCCAGCTCACGTATCTTGCTTCTCTCTTTAGCTAAATCATCCTGTTAAAATATTTGCTTTCATTTGTTTTTACTTCTTTTGGTATAATGCAAGGATATTTGATGTCGTCCATCAGTTTTGATTTAAGTTTTGGCTGCCCACCTTTAAAATTCTATTTCCAATAGATTGCTATATATATTACTTATAGAATGCTTATTTACTTCTTTGTATTTCTCTTTTTGGTAGTAAATTACTATTATATTATTTACATTTCCATAAATTTACTTACCATCCATACTAAATCATCCAGATAAACAAAAACCTTGTGCTATCTCGCCCCCAATAATCTGATAAAGACAGGATGATAATCTGATTAAGTTACCTTCAATCTTCGTACTTCAGCTTCCAAGTTGTTCCTCTCCTCTCTGAGCTGGTGTTCCACTACATCAGACCGCTTGTAGCGACCCTCGCCGTCGCTATCCTTCTGTTCCAAGTTCGTCTTCAACTTGGCGATCTGAGCTTCCAATGTTGATTTATCTCTACAACATGAATAACAAATTTTAAAATCTTCTTAGACTTTATAACTGTTCAACTTTTGTTCAAGAATGTTTGCAATTTTGTTGTTTTTAGGGTTCCGTACCTCATAGGAAAAAAACGGAACCCTTATAGTATCACTTTGTTGTCCGTCCGTCTGTCTGTAAAGACCCTTTTTCTAAAACGCGTGAAGGTATCAAGCTGGAATTTATATCAAATGTTCAGGTCGCTAGTTTTAATACGACTGAATTGCCAAATTATCCTTTGGCTAGCGTTAACTATAATACTTTTAACCTATACTATGTGTAACTTTACATTTTATTCTATTTACTTATCTGTCGCCATTAATTCTTAAACCCCTTTACTCTAAAGTTAAAATTTCCTGAGATTTTTATATTGGATTGTCTTATTGTCGATGTAGATTTCGTACTGTCTTGTTTTTCTATTGATATCAGTTGCCTTATTCACTTGATATGATCTTACCTTTGCAAATTATCAATCTGTCTCTTGAATCCGTCGAGACAAGTGGAATCGACGAGACCAGAGGCCAGCTTTCGTTTGTTCTCGTTGTTTTCATCCTGAAAAAGACTCAAGGTAAAAAACGATGATCCAATCCAGCATAACACTGTATTTAGATACTCAATAGAACTATTATTTACAACCCGACTGACATGAGAGTTATTTTTTTATATATTTGGGTTTGTTGTTTCAGCCATATGCTGCCAGCACTGATGGGGATAGGCCTCCCCCAAAGATCACCATGATGATCTGTCCTGTGCTACCCGCCTCCAGGATACTTAACCTTGACCAGATCATCGGTACATCACGCGGGAGGCTTTCTACGCTGCAGGTTTGTATTTCTGTAGATGTTGACCTTCTGTAGCCTATATTTGAAGTTTACTAGCGTGGTGTCACTCGATTCGTAATAGCCCCTTTATTGTAGTAGAAGAATTTTTATCATTCAGTCTGCTTTTATTTTGTTTAATTAAGCAATATTATTTCTTGTACCTGTATTTTCTTCAGATCGATCTTTGCTTGCGTCAGTTGGGCTTCTAATTCCGCGATCCGCGATTCGAACACGATGTTTGGTCCTTCCAACTTTGTGGCGCGTGGTTTAGCGCGACGGGACTTAGATGGAGTTGCCTACAAGGTAAGAAGGAATTAAAAGGTATGTATAGTTTGGCTTATAATTATAACCAAATTAGTATCACAGGTAACATAGTATGAAAAGTTACTCTCAGTTCAGTAGGATATTTAATAAATAAGGAATTTTTTATTAATCTTCTGAAGAAAAAAAAATAATATTACCTAGACTTTGTACCTTTGTTGAGCCTTTGACTTTATAAGTTAAAGAATTTAATTTCTGGCCCTTGAAGTTAATACCTTATTATCACTATCCAAGCCCGTGCTGTCCCCGACGTCTTCCAGTTCATCCGTTTCTGAATCGTAGTGGAACATGCGCGAGATAATCTTGTTCTTCTGCGCCTCGTGTAAATGTTCGTTCTCCGATATCACCTCCTTTACCTTACCTAAAAGGTTATTGAGTTCATCCTGCAAGAGATTGTTAGACGTTTTTATTAGTTACTTCTTCTTCTACTAGCCCTTTGTGGGCCTGGCTTGGTCCAGCAACTTTTTCCACCTCGGTATATCTCTGGCCACGACTTCCAATTAGCTATTATTAGTTACTTATGCAAACTTAATAGCTTTTTAGCACATACAGCCAAAGCTCAGCGTACTATGAAAAGTCAAGATCCTTAGTGTTGATTTTTATAAACATCTACACTAAACGATTGTACGTAACAATTAAGGTTAACGCGCTTTCATACCCTCGCTATAAACCCGACTGTTCAGACTTAACGCCTGCGCAAATGTTGCGGCAATCCGCCATCGCGGGAACGTTGCCGATGCCCGCAAAAGGCGCTTGGGCGATATATATACGTCTCTGTCTATTCGTGTCACTTACCTGCAAATCATTGTGCAATTCGCATCTTTTTTAATTATATTAATTTCATTAAGTATCTGGGCTTTTAATTTGCACCATCTATCCGCTAAAGATAGAACACCGACCATGATGCTTCATTATATCTTTATGCCACTCAATCGGCTGTCGAAGCTGTGGTGTGAAATGGGGCGGTGCCTGGTGACCGTAGATTGAACGAATGCGTGTTAACCTTTAAATGATTGCCAAATTAATGTTAAAGTAGTGTTTAGCTCACCCTGCAGTACTGTGATTCACGTTCCAGTTGTTCAATGTACTCTTCTTGCTTCTGTATGAAATTGACGACGTCAGGGTTGGTACCGCCGGATAGATCGGGGGCCGGAGCTTGCGGTGCTGGTTGTGGAGCTGGAGAACAATTGTATATTTTGATGAGGACTAACAGTGTGTTTCTGAGACCTAAATCTCCGTTTAAAATATATTGTTGTGTCTGTTTTGACAAAGATAAAGAAAGGTTGTGATACACAGATTTAGATTTCAAAAACCGACGGTATTTTTGTATGAGACAGCAAACGGTAAAGTTTTTATATTGTACAAAAAAAACTGCACGTCGGTTTTGATTAATTTGATTGCGAACATAAGTATCAATATAAGTAAAAAACACACTTTAATATAAAGGTTATTTCACAGGGAAAATATGGTTTTGTACAAATGTTTCGGCAATGCAAACACATGTATGTACATTTGACATAATAAACTTATATAAAAAGGGCTAAAACAGGTATGTTAGTCCGGTCCGGCACCGATTAGCCGTGATCGACGATAGCTTGTCCGAGAAATAATACCAGTCCCACTCGCCATGATGAACGGCCCCCGATGGACTCGAAACTAGTCGGTGCCGCCACCGGACGAACATACGTCAGTGTTTAGCCTTTTTTATATAAGTTTATTACAACGTCTCACGAAAGTTTTAACATTTGACATACTTACTCGTAGTTACTTTTGGTGTATAGTTATTCAAACTGTCAGCGTACAACGTGGTATATTTAGCTGTGAGTCGCGGCCGCGGCTTATACTCGTTTAAGCCGGTGTAAGCCGAATACTTCTTATCTAAATCTCCGTCGGATTCATCCAAGTTCTTGATTGATGCTGATCCACCGTAACTACGTACCTAAATATATATGTATAAGGTTAATCTATTCTACAGCCATATTATCAACCTGCCCTTATACCTACGAAAGCACAGTATGTACTCCTCCATACATCTTTATCAGCCGTCATATCTGAATCTACTCCCTTCTTACGCATATCTTTCATACAATACATCCATACTTTCTTTGGTCTTTCTCTACCTTTGTAACTATCCACATACAATTAATAATCCATCTCAATCATGTTTATTTTTCTAATGAATTTTTAATTGATTTTTATTAAAAAAAAACTATTTAAAAATATTTTTTAAGTGACAAAAAGTTTTGTAAAAAAATGTACTTATTTTATAATAAATTGTTAAATTAAATTAGGAACTAAATGTTATTTGCAAAGAAAATCACAAAAAAATCTATTTAAAAAAAAATTTAAGTGACAAAAAGTTTTGTAAAAAAAAATTTAGGTTGGGGATTTGATTAAATATTTACGAATATCAAATTAATAAAATAACTTACGCTCGGAGCACTACCAGATAAGAAATATCTGAGTTTCGAGACCGCCTCTTTGTAGGCCAATTCAGTATAATCTGGTATCCTTTTGCTACCGTAATCCATTTTAGGTCGTCTGTAGGAAAAATATGCACTCATTGTAACTGGCCACTTTTATTACGTCACATTTTAAGTTAAAAATAAAACTAAATTTAAAATTAAAATAAATGTCAAAACGTTGTTCCGTACTGACGCATTGCGCTTTTGTGTTAAGTGGGGACTATCGGCCATATTGATTTTGTGGTTGCCATGGTTACCGTTGTTATGATAAATATCCAATGCTTTGCATGATTAATTAAAAAAATTAGATTTTTTATCTATATTTTTAATTATCATTAGATTTTATTGTAATTTTACTTCTTATAAATGCGAAAGTTTAGATGGATGTTTGTTTGTAGGTATCTCTAGAACGGATGAACGTATCTCGATGAAATTTGGCATACATATAGAACATAGTCTGGAAGAACACATAGGTTACTAATTAAGTTTTTGTAATTCAGCGCGTACGGAGTCGCGGGCGACTGCTAGTATATGACTTAATTGTTTAATTTTATTTTACATATTTTAAAATATTTTTGATATTTATTTTTTAAATGTGATCGATACGAAGAATTAATTTAGATATCCTATTATTATTAATAATTTAATAATATTCCTTGTTATTATACCAGGTCATCTAAAAATTGTTTCAGGACATTCAAGACTATACCCCAATGGCGGAATCGAACCCGCGACCATCCAACATCGGTAGTCCATATCCTTAACCATTACGCTATTAGCCGTCTATAAAATAATTTCTATCTACGTCACTACGTATTTTTTTTTCATCTTTATCGATTGTCATTGAAATTAGCGAAGGTTTGAATCTCGTACTTAATAGCTAATATAAAAACATTGCAGGAATATCTTCATATTTGTAGCTACAGTGTCTTATCATATGGTGGATGGTATCAAATTATAAGAAAAGTTACAAAAGTTAATGTAACTTTTACACAAAAACAGTTGGATTTTTTTTAGTATTTTTCACCGTGTAGTTATCGATCTGGCTGGATCTTACAATTACCGTTTTATCGTTGAATTTTGGGACACGCTGTATATTTATTCAAATAATTTTCTTAAATACGGAATGGCGAAAGGACAAAAAAGGTACGTTTCTTTTTCCTTATATAAATTTTTATATCTTTGAATGATAATATTTTAATATTTGGCAATAGTAACCACAGTTTACTTAATTAGTTTTAATAGCAAAAAAAAACTATATTTCAAATTTAATATTAAAAAAGATAAATATTATATATTTAATTAATTGATTAAAATACAGAGGAATATAACATTAAAAAAAATATCGTAATGTAATTCATTATGTCTCCAATTTCACATCATAAATCTACAGAAAATCTAGACTTATTAATTAATCAAAGAAATAAAAAAACTAAGAAATCACTAAGTAAATTGCACCAAATACTAAGTCTGATTTGAATCTATTACTCGCCTAATTTTGGAGCGCTTCAGTTTTCCGTTCATCTCCTTATCTGAGCCAACACTGGATCCACTTTTTACTTTGTACCCTTTAGACTTGCTGACGTAACTAGTTGAACCCATACTACGTACAACCAGTAACAAACTACTATGTTTTTAACACTTTAAATGTTCAAAGATCTAAAATTTTTGTACTGATGTTCACACACGACAATGAACAGACAATGTCTGGGAAGGAGTAACTTTTAGTCGTTACTTTTGGAGTTTCCTGTTTTTGTCTCTTTCGTGTAAAGGTGGGAAATCAATGTATCGGTTTCACTCTAAAGAAAAGTTTTCATCGGGATATTATAGTCCAAGAGCTACCATAAAAAAAAACTACTGTGTATAATTTTATTTCAATAATATTTTTTCTTTATTTTAGGTAGGCCTATGCCCAACAGTGGGCGTCTCTTGGTTGAACAAGAAAAAAAGAAGAAAGGAGACAAAAAAAATTATCTATCATGGATTTTGAACTTTTTTAGTAATTGAGCCAAAAAACAAATGACACTTGGAATAAAGATGGCGCTGAAATATTGCGCAATTGTTTTGTCACAAATGTAAATGTGTTCTATTATAAAAAAAAATTTACATTGCTAATTTTAAGTAAAAAGGTAATTTTGAGGCAAATTTTATATCTATAATTTTCCTATTTAATTCATGTACTAGCTCTTAGACTAAGAGACAGGCAGTGTCTTGCGTGCGAATCGCGACGCCCATTACTGTACATTTTGGAGGGAAAAACGTTCCCGATCACGCAAAGCTTATCGTTTGGAAAATGAACATCGCTACTGACTACATATTGCATTTATTATGTCAATAATTTCTTTGTCTTTTAAAGGTTTAGATGAAAAAAGGGTATGATATTTGAGAAAAGGATGTCTTAGGAAAAGAAGTTTCTTTGCTAGTTTCCAGAATACGGTAATGTAGTAGTTTACTAAGAAACATATTTCCGTACAAAATAGTTTTTCTCGGGGTTTAAATCTAATGTCCATTATTTTGCATGTTATAAAGGGGTATAAATTAAAAAATATGCATTGGAAAACTTTGAAATTAAATTATATTTTGTTTAGAATACTATATCCTTCGATGTCATTGAAATATATTAAAAGTATAAATAAAAGGAAAAATCTTGATACTTTAACACGGTACATTCAGTTATGAAATAGGTAATCAAGTATCGCATGACATCAGGCGGTGTTAGTCGGTGCTGGGACGAGATCGCGTGACTTGAGACGACCCTTCTTGTGGTTTTTCCTTTTTTTATTTTGTTTACTGCTCTACATCTTTTGGTGATAAATGTTTTGTTTTTTTTTTAAACCTAAAATCGCTAAAACAGCGAAGCGAACGTTGCCCATAGACATACGCAATTGTCTACCTTTAATCAACGGAGGAGAGGATGCAGACAGAAAATATTTTCCCTTTCCATGCATCCCCTCATCCGGAAAGTCCACTTCCACTTCCCATCCTTTCCTTATAAGAGAGGATGGGAATAAGGGAAAAAGGACTAAATTAAATTAGCTATTCCAAGTACAGTTTGATGAGTGTGCACTCATCAAACTGTACTTGGAATAGCTTCCACTTGACGCCTGTCTTCTGTGTGGTCGTGGTATTTCACCGGGCGTGCCGGGACAATTCATGCGAAGATGTTAAATCGGGCTCTACCACTGTTGAAAATTTAAAAAATATGTAGGTACTTAAACTTCTTTCACAGGTTAAATAAAAACAAGAATTAAGAAAAAAAATTGTTTTATTAATATCAAAAACTACTTCGATATCAGCATATTTAATTAGTAATACTTATAATATACGAGATAACTGCATTTCAACAATTAGTCTTATTATAAAATTTTGATACAATGCAATTGTAAAACACAACCACGGATTTATTAATATTTTTGGACGTTACAGGTGCGTATTGCGTTGTCTCCATTGTCGTAACAAATATCGCCATCTCTTTCATTTCTTTGAACTAAACAGAGATATCATTTTAATAAGTTTGTTACGACAGTGAAGACTAGATTGGAACTTGACCGTTCTAAATCTTTTGCGGCAGTTTTTTTTACAGTGTTATTTTATTTTGTTAATTTACTATAATGCAGTTTGAAATTAACTTATGATTCTAACAGTCTCCACAAATTAAGTATACATGTTTTATAAAAATTAAATTAAAATTTATTTTATACTGTAAATGTTGATACTAAATATATAATGAAAATGCTTTATATTAATGTGATTATATGTCCAATAGAATAGGTTATACGTATTTAGGAATGATCAAAGAAATAATTTACTCGTATTACGTCAATTTTCAAATGTTAAACAGATTAAAAAAAAGTTATGACACTTAATGTCAAAGTAGGAATTTAAAAAAAAGAATTAGAAATGATCTTTGCCTATAAGAGATCAATTAAAATTATAGATTATTCATTATTTACTGTTTTAATAAAAAAAAGCATTTCGAATGTGTTAATATAGAAAGGAACAGATATTTGGAACATTTTGGTATATCTATGGTTGATTTTAAAAACAATATTTTCTATCTGTAGTAATGAAATAGAGCAACGTAAGCCATAAAAATTAGTAAAATTACTAAAAACAAAACACTACTTTTTGGTGTTAGTAACTATAACAAACTTAATACTATAAGAAAAATAAATATATTAAGTAAGTTTAATTGCACGTAAAATATTTCATTTGTTGTAAATATATTGCTTTTGAACGATGGCACTTTTTTTTATTGAATAAATACGTAGCAAAATAAGCATATTAACATTTTATATACATTGTGCGCCTGCGAAGATTTAATAGTGATTTAAACTATCTTGTCTATGGCACAGGATTTCAAAACTCATTGGAGAATTGATGTAAAACACTATGTACAATAAATATAATCATAGTAGCAACATAATGCATAGTTGAACAAATTATTTGACCCGGTGGAGAACACTATTATCATGGTTGTGACTGAAAAAATGTACGTATTCAGGAGTACAAGAAACCATTTGATTTTGACATTGAAGGGGGGCGTTACTGTGCTAATTTTACTTATGCATACCGGGTCAAATAAACTTGTCTATTTAAACTTAATTATAACAAAATTAATATTGAGTCGATATAAATGAATGAAAATAAGACTGAATAATTTTAAATGCATTCATCATTATAAATTATTGGAATTTGTTAACGACTTGTTTAACCCAACTGCCTTTTAGATCTTCTGAGACTTCAGTTTGTTCATTGCCTTTATTGACCGGAATGTTTGCTTTATCTGTGCTACTACTTGGTGTTATTTTTATTTCTCTATGATTTTCGCTGACGCTTCTTTCGAAAGACGCCATTTTTGTCGTAATCGATTTTGGTTTTGCATTATTGTATTGTTTCTTTAAACCTGGATTTAATTTGACTTGGGCTTTTGTCATCATTTCTAATTCCATTCGTCTTTCTAAAACTGTTTTCGCAGCGATTTTAGGCGTTTCTAATCGATTCTCTGTTTGCAATTTAATTTTTCGTGTCGCAGAATCGAGACTTGCTCGTTCGAAACTTAATCGTTTTAATTGTATATTACCCTGTTGATTTAATTTATTGTTAATTTTAAAATCTTTAGTATTTTCGACACCATCTTTCGGTTGTTCAATGCTAGGCTTCTCCTTAGTCACTTTTCTTGCGTTTTCTGTATTGGGACTTGATTCAGATCTTGCGAGATATGTTTTATTATTAACATTACGTTGAATATTTAATTTATTAACTGAATCAGAGGTTGATTGTTCTGATTTGTCTATTTCTTTTCGTACAACTTCATTTCTTACTACACTTGATTGTATATTCCCGATTTTAGGTTTTACTGGAACTGGTGGAGCTATTTTGGGTTTAATCGACTTTATTGCTTCATTCTTTTTCGTATCTTGTATTGTTTCTTTTATTTTATTAGTTGTTATTGTGACTTTAGAGTTTGTAAACGTCTTTTCACTTGTGCTTGTTGTTACGATTATTTTCTTGGAATGTACGGAAGCTTCACGTTTCAAGCTTTCGATTCGTTTGATAGTTTTATTAACTATTTTATCATCATTACATTCTTTTGATTCATCAACATCTTCCTGATCGGAGTAAACAGCTGAATCTCTAAATACATCTTCATCAGTGAAATGTTCGATTTTTTCAAAAGATTTCTCATAAAAACTTTCGTCAGAATTAATTTGTGACGATGATTCTAAAAGTTGTTTTGAGTCTGTCGTTTTAACTTGATTTTGTTTAGTCTGTGGCTCATGGTAAGTACTTTCACTGGATGATGTGACAAAAGATGAATTAGAGAATAGACTGTCAGGTCTAACTGCGTTTTTATTTATAAGTACATTCACAGTTTTAAGGGTATTTCTGTCATTACCCAGTGTTGTTGGATCTACGTAATCAGACTGAGCGATACGGGCTCCTAAATATTTGCTACCTTGCATGTATATTGGTAGTTTGTTTAAGTTTTGTTGCGAGCTATTATTTGATTTCAATGGTGAGGAACTGACGGAACTAGAAGTGGTCACCATACTGATACTTTTACTGTAATTAGGTCTTAGTTTATCAGTTTTCTGTACAAGATCGTCACAGCTATGAGATAAAGCTTCCAATTGATTCTTTTCTTTCTGACTTTCATTCATTGTGGTACCTTCATGCATACTTTTACTAAAAACATCATTTGTAGGGATATCTATTGTAGTCGAATCAGCGTCTGTCGTAATCACTACTTTAATATCGCTTTTATTTTGTAGATCTTCAGATATTTTCGCCTTCAAATCATATTTAGCTTGTATGTCATCTGGTTCATCTCCAATAATACTTCGGAATCTTTGTAATAAATTTCTTGAGTAACTTCTAGGATTGAGTGCAGATCTCTTCTCATTTGTAGGACTCTTGTTTGTATTTTCAGAATTTTGATCGTTTGCATTTATTTCAGATTCTTCATTACTTTTGTTAGGATTTCTGCTTTTAAAGCGACTTAAGACATTTTTAAGTGACATGACATTCGCTGTAGGTTTGTAAATTTTATGTTCGGGATGTATTACTTCGTTATCTTTTTTATCGCTATCTCTCTCTATGGGTAGAACTTCGCAAGAAGATGTGGTAGATGTATTCAAATTCGTTTGCAAGTTGGCTGATGTATCATTTTTGTTTGAATCAATGTCAAGTTTCTCGAAATTATTCTTATAACATCTATCTATTTCTTCTTCAAGTTCTAATGTTGATTGACTGATATTTTGACTGTAATCTGGATCGTTGGATTTTGAAACTTTGCAAAATTTAAAGATGTCATTTTCACTCATATAATTTTCTACATCATCATAGCTCAGTTCACTTTGATCTGAAGCAATTGTAAAAGGTCTGTCAGTGCTCATGACTTTACCATCTCTATTTAAATAAGTCTTGCTGCTACCGTTCGGTTTGCATTTGAACGAACTTAGGTTAGTTTCATCCTGGCCACTTGTGGGAACTTGGAAACTTCTAGGAAGCGATCCAGATTTTCTATCTTTAGATACATTGAAGTGTTCTTTCTGTCGACTGAGCCAAATTTCTGGTGTGTTCGGGCTTTGTTGTTCTGGTCCCATTGGTAGATATTCACATGGTAAATTACTAGGCACTTCTTTATTCCTTCTACAGACATCTATAAGATTATCGTAAAGTATATCTTCATTTAAAGGAGGACCCTTTTTCTCCATTATTACGTAGTAATCTGATTCATTCGCAGACTTTACTTTCTGTGGTGATTTTACTGGAACATCGTATATACCATCATCATCGATTTGATTCTGTTTATTAAATGATAAATATACGTAATCTGATTCAGATATATTTCGTATTTCAGCTGGATTTATGCTAGGTGGGGAGGGAAGTCTCTTTGGTCTAGGTACGTGTGTATTGTGCTGGATCGTTTTACTTTTACTATTCAAAGAATGTAAACGTTCATCTGCTCTACTTTCGACTCTTAGTGTTTCATAAATATGATCATCATCCGATACTGTTTCTGCAATCTTCGACTCAAGTATATCTTCATTATTTGTGTGTTCTAAATTCTCTGATGTCTGTCGAGTATACTTCGGCATCAATCTAGGAGAATCAAAGTTTCTAGATAAAATGACTTGATCAGGATTCGAATGTGATTTTAATAATCTTTGATGTCGTCTTTGAGCACTATTTCTTTGTTGTTGTTTCTTCAGAAGTTTTTGAAATTCACGATTTTCTAGTAAAAGTTGTGATATAATTTGTTCCAAAGGTTGTTCTGTTTCTTCACAACTGCCAACTATTTCATCGTTATCTTGTTCTACACATGTTTTTTCTTCAATTTCTGAAGTTTCGTTGATAACTTTTTGATTGTTTAGATATTTAACTTTCTCTAATTCATTCTTTTTGAATGAATCCGTTTTTTCTATAAGCCTTTTGTAAGTTTCTTCATCTATATCTTCGTCTTTACTAATGGAATCTGGTACTTTTAATTTGTCGTTATTATCAGACTTTTTGTCTACATTTAGACTGTCGTTAGATTCTGATATATGTAGAATATTTTCTGTAGAAACATCAGTGGAAAAGTCTGTATAAAATCTGGATGTATCAGATGTAACGCGAAAGCCTTTAGCTCTGTTTTTCTTTATTTTCGATATCTTCTTTGGTATATTTTTAGTGTTGTACATTTTAATTTCCAAATTAGATTTGATACCAGGACCACTACTAGCTACCCCTTTCTTTTTTGAGTCTCCTTCAAGATCGGAGACGACAGAACCGTCGCTATTTTTAGTTTTTCTAGATATTTTATTGGAACCACAACTTCTACATTCAAATTCAATTTTTTCGTTCCCTCGACCATCGTTTTTATCTATATCACTATCTTGAGACTTTTTAATAATGAATCCTATATTGTTTTGTTGTAGTCCTGGTTCTGATTTTCTCCTCCAAGTACCTATTTTAGATAATTTAGATCTTTGTGGATCATCTTTAGATTTAGATCTAAGATTATCAGTTTTAGGTCTATCAATATCAATACATCTAGACCTTCTAGTATGTAAAGTCTGTAATGAATCAGTTACGGGAATGTTTTCTTTGATTTTTGTACATTTCAAGCAAGTTTTTTGTATATTTCTTACACTGGATAGTGAGTTATTGGTATCACTCAAATCATCTTTACTCGTCTTAGAATCTGTGTAACCTATAATATTATCAGATGAATGATAACCTCTTGTTTTATTTAAAGAGGTACCTGGATATTCTTTACTGAAGCTTTCCTGTGATGATTTGAAATCTGGACATTTGCAAGCTATTTGTTTTCTTTCTAAATGTTCTGCGCTACCTGAATCTATATAATGTAAAGATCTATCACATTCTGGACATTTATCTGCAGTTTTATTGTCATTGATACAATCGCACTGTCTCTCTCTAACTTTATGTTTAGATATATCTGTCTCACAATCTGAACATATATCAATGTAGCAATTGTCGCAAGTGTAATCTATACCTTTTTCAGCTGATATTTGTGAACAATCACATTCTATGTTCTCATTCCTTGTACTAGGTAATGTGTATTTTCTATTACCTTTTTTCAGTCGACCTCGTATACCATTTTCGAATGATTTTCTTCTTTCTCTTTCTACTTTTCTCTTTTCAAGATATTCGGGCGCTGATAGCTGTTTTCTCATTGAAGCTTGAGTTATCAGGTTGTGTGATTTCTCTGCTAACATATCATCTGGAACCAAAGAAAATTGGTCAATTTGAAAAAAAAATGTTTTGTTTAAGCTATAAAAATCTTTGAAACCTCGGTTTTTTAGAATTGTTAAGTATAAATATTTACCGTCAGTTTTGTTTTGTCCTAGTTCCATCACCAGCTGTCTTGCGTGCGATGGAATAACGGCGTTGTAATTCTCCAATATTACCTAAAAAGAAAAGTCAAATTAAAATGAAATTGTTAAAACAAGATATTAAACTACCTACAAATTTTAATGTAAGATGTAAGATTATTAACAACGCTATCCTGGCTTTATTGCACTTCGAGTATTTAAATAATCCTCTAAATATATATTCAGGGTAAGAAATCCCTACTAAGGGTCGTTAGTGTCCAAATGATTGAATGGAGGAGTAAGCGAAAGTGAACGTACCCGCTTCAACAATAAAGTCCATTCTCGCTTGTGTCGTGGCGAGCGTGCCTGCAGCGTGAGCTGAGCGCGCGGCGCGTCCCACGGTATGACGTGGAAGGAGAGCGGAGCGCCCGCGATGGATTCCACCAGCATCATGTTGTTGCACTGAAGTTGTACAACAAATATTAAAACGCCTGACAATTTTAAATAGCAATTATTTTTAATATGATGTTAATTTTAAAATTTTGGTAGGTTATCTGTTTAACCGTTGGATTTCTGAGACCAAACGTTTAAAAAATATTGCTATCTCTGTTTTGTCAAAGATAAAGTAAGGGATGATGATATGTTGTATTTAGAGATTTTGGTCTGAGAAAACAAGGGTAATTTTCAAAAATAATGTCATTTTTAAGAAATTGTTTTATTGTTAAGGATTTCTTCGTGATTATTTAGATATTTTGAAAAGAATTACTTATATTTTTAAGTTTTGAGGGTTCCGTACCTCATAGGAAAAAAACGAAACCCTTATAGGATCACTTTGTTGTCTCCGTCTGTCTGCCAAGACCATTTTTCCCAAAAACGCGTGAACTTATTAAGCGGGAATTTATTTTCCATTGGGCGGGCTTATGACGCCCTCTCGTTTCCCCTAACATGATGGCCAGAGCCTTTATTAGTCTTTAGTTAATCTAGACTTTATATTTTTGCGATAATGTATACACTGACCATGATATGTGACTTGTATGCGAGTATCCCGTCCTCCCTGTTCTTTGTGACGAGCAGCATCTTGTCGAAGAGGAAGGCGTGACGCATCGCCTTCGCGCCGAACACTCTGCAACAATTATATATAGCACATTATTTTTTACTCTTTACTAAGTGTCGCCTGCAACTCCGTCCGTGAGGATTTACAAAAAAAAAATAATTAGTAGCCTATGTTCTTTCAGACTATATTCTACATTTATACCAAATTTCAGCGAGATTCATGCAGCAGTTTTGGAGATACCTTCTAACAAACATCCATCCTAACATTTATGTATTTATGCATGTATATTAGTAAGATTATTAATAGTTAATTCAAATATTACCTGAAGGTCCCTTCGGCACACAGCTCTCCGTAAGTGGTCAGATCTGGACCGTTCCAGCCGTACAGCAGAGACTGGATCTCCTGCAATATATAACAAATGTTTCATTATTATCTAACCAATTTCTCCTATCTATCCTTTACCTTATTTAGCAAAGAAATTGATATGTTTCAGATAAATTTTAGTAACAATTTTAAAAAATATTATAAATAATGGAGTGGTAAATTATTTCGACTTGGATAAAGTTAGAGAAATAGTTCTGAAAAAAAAATGATAAGAACAGATTTACAAATTATACAGGAACCTTTTTGAAAACCTGAGATTAAACAAACCTAGTTAGTAGCTTACAGACTATGTTCTTTATATGTATGCCAAATTTCATCAAGATACGATGACACGTTCTGGAGATATCTTGTAACAAACATCCGTCTAAACTTTCGAATTTATACTAATATTATAAAGCGGAAGAGTTTGTTTGTTTAAACGTGCTAATCTCAGGAACTACTGGTCCGATTTGAAAAATTATTTTTTTGTTGGAAAATCCATTTATAGAGGAAGGCTTTAGGCTATATAACATTACGCTGCGAACAATAGGAGCGAAGCGTCACTAAGTTTACTTTTAAGTCGGAACGGACGAAAGCTAATTTATAATATAAGTTAAATTTGTGTACCTGTACTCTAACGGCATGTTCATGTCTTCGTTTCATATCATCAATGTGTTGGGCGATGCCGGTCATCTTCAGCAACGCGTACTCTGTCTCACGAGACGCGCTTTGCTTCACCACATTCTGTTTCAACATACATTAACTAAAGACTAACATCACTAATTCTTCCTAACGACTAATAGTTACATCTCTAAAATGAAGACAAAGTTTTAATACGATGAAATATCATTGTTGCCGACAGATACGGAACCTCTTTACACGTTTTTTATTCATAATTTTTATATTTTCGTATTTAGAACATATCATATTTTTTTCCTTCCTTTTTTTGTCTGTATTTTATATCATTTGTAAATATATCCAGTAACAGTGTGTGTTTATCTCTTCATTTTCATAATTCTATTTTATATTTTCATTTTGTCTTTTAATTTTATTATATAAATTTCAAAATTTTTCTTAATACAACCGCTCTTTCCATCCTCATATTTTCCGTCGTCTTTAATCATCGTTAGCAAATAGTCTACTTAAGGAATTCTGAAGATCTGCTCCTCGTTCTAGTCTAGTAGTCTTTATTACCTTTGATATGTAAATTGGTTAATTACGTGGTATGTACAAAATTTATTTCTGACTTTCATAAAAGTGCGTCGATGGCTCTGGGGTTAGATTTGCAATCTGCAGGTTCTGGGTTCGAATCCCGATATGTGTAAATTCAGCCCGCACTGGACCAGCGTGGTTGACTATGACCTAGCTTAGGGTCCGAGTCCCTCAGTGAAGACGAATAGTGACCTGATGATAATTCCTGACTTAATATCTATTAGAACTATTTGCTATTTTAAAGTTAAAGGCGTTTACAAATTAGATATAGTTTACCATTTTAATGATGTTATTTTTAAGTAAAATAGTATATTATTCAACTTACTTGCAACAAGAGATGATACTTCAAGATCCTTTGCACAGGTTTTAACAAATACGAAGCGAGTGGTAATGGATGTTGTAACTCCATCTGTCTTTCTCTGAATTCCCTTGCGCTTTGAGGCTTTGAAGCGAGGGCAGCTAATCTCTCCATAGTACGAGGATAGCCTGTGCAGTAAGACGTGTACACAGCGAACCCTGCTGTATTGTTGACGAAACAACGGGCAATACAAGTTGCGTCTAATCGACACGTGTTCAATTCTTCACAGAGGGACCTAGAAAAACAAGAGATGAAATTATATAAAATAGATAAAATATACAAGCCTTTAACCGCGACTCCGTCCGCGCGAAATTGAAAAAAAACATTAGTACCCTAAGTGTTCTTCCAGACTTTGTATGTCAAATTTCAGCGAGATCTATACAGCACTTCTGGAGATACCTTCTAACATTCAGATTTACAATTTGGCTAGATATCTAGACTTCAATCTTAATTTATTACGATTAAATATCTTTGAAAATTTAAGTAAGAGAATAGCACAGTATCGCGTTCTATGTAGTTACGATTTCAAGAATCAAAAGCTTTATTTATCGTTTCAAAGTGAATAAAATTAAACAGTTCTAATAAAGTAGACTATTTGAAGTAAATATTGTAATGCGTAGTATCAGTCGACTTCGTGAATATTAAAGTGCAAGCAAAAGTAAAACGACTTTGCGTTCAGTTTCCAGTTACTATAGAACTGACCTCGGCTTTGTACGACCTATTGTTCCTGTTTACGACGCCATATTGTTGGAGGCGAGTATTTAAGAGACTTGTTCTCAAGTTTCCAGCTTTTATTACTAAGATAGGTTTTTGTTTTCTTGATTACTGAGTAAAGGTGTTTTCGATTCGTGTTAATGTATAGCCACTTGTTTTTGTGGAATAAGATTCATGTGCAAAAATGACTTTATTCACAGTGTCGTACATTTATACGAAACTAGCTAACGCCCGCGACTTAATTAGCAGAAAATAACTTAGTTAACGAACTTAATTAGTAGTAAAAAAACTTAGTCAGCACTTGGCCAGCGTGGTTGACTATGGCCTAATCACCCTTAACTTAGGGTAGGCTCCGAGCCCCTCGGTGGAGACGTATAGTTGATGATGAATGTTTAGATGGATGGATGTTTGTAGGTATCTCCGGAACGGCTCGGAGGATCTCGTTGAAATTTGGCATAGATGTAGAACATAGTCTGGAAGAACACATAGGGTACTAATTAAGTATTATATATTTTTTGCAAAAGTCGCGGACGGAGTCTCTGGCGACAGCAATTATATATATAATTACAAAAATACGATTAATGCTGTACTTATATACGACTTCAATTTGTCAAAACATGTAATTCGATCGCCCCGCATACGAACGTAAGTAAAGACCGCACGCAAACTTCTACTATTAGTACGGTCACAATAAATGTATGGGGGAGTCTTTTATAAAACTACCCTCTCTGTACAATCCCTTTGGATGCGAGGTACTGTTAATCCCCTAACAGAACAGGGAAACATTTGGAAAAAAAGCGAAATATATATCTTACTAATATTACAAAGACGAAAGTTTGGATTTTTGTTAGAAGATATCCTCAAAGGTTCTCGATGAAATTAGGCACAGATGTCTGAAAGAACACATAGGCTACTAATTCAGTTTAATATTTTCAAATTCTGCGCAAACAGAGTCGCGGGCAAAAGTTAATTTTTAATCATTTAAAATAAGTATTTACATGCTCCTATATTTTGACTTGAATCTTGCTAATATTATAAATACGAATGTTTAGATGGATGGATGGATGTATGGATGTTTGAAGGTATGTCGGTAACGGCTGCATGGATCTCGCTTAAATATGGCATAGATGTACATAGTCTGGAAGGACACAAAGGCTACGTATTGAACTTATTTTTAATTCCGCACGGACGGAGTCTAGTCTAGAATAAAATGTTATACTATTATCTTGTTTACAAAGTTTATACGAAATTCATCTACATATAGGTCGGGGCAACATAATATTTTGTGCGTCCCGGAGGCCTAATTTATTCCTCTTTCCCTTCCCACCTTTTTCTCATAAGGAAAGGATTGGAAGTGGAAGTGGTCTTTCCGGATGAGAGGATGCATGGAAAGGGAATATATTTTATTTCTGTGCATCCTCTCCTCCGTCGATGAAAGGTAGGCAACGCATATGCAACTGCGTTTGTCTATGGGCAACGGTCACTTCGCTATATCAGCGATTTCAGGTGGCCGCTCGCGCGTTTGCCACCTTATGATATAAAAAAAATACAAAACGTACCTGTTGAAAGCATATATATCTTCAATGTTGTTGAATAGTTCAGACAATTCTTCATCTGAGAATGTCGCGTCCCGCCTCCACACGTGCAGGTAACCCTGGGGAAGAAAGAGATAGAACATTAAGAAACAATACAACAAAGTTGAAGTTTGACAGAGAGAAAGAGAGAGACAGAGAGAGTGAGAGACAGAGGGAGACATTTAGTTAAACTGAAAATATCGTTGTAGGTCAGATGTGTTCAATAAGCAAGAATGAGACATTGTTTACGCATTAAAAAAGAGAAACGAGATTTTAATTCGTTATGCAAATCACGTCAAGTACATTTTAGAGTATGCAAATTTGACAAAGATGTAGAACATAGGCTAGAACACATAAGCTACTTATTAAGTTTTTTTTTAATACCGCGCGATCGAAGCCACGGGCGATAGCTATAATGAAAACAAAGTAAGACGTCATAATTATCTTCAAAAGTAACTCCCAAGTGGATTGAAATATGCTATTTATGATGCAGTAAGGAGTTACTCCAAATCTTTTAAGTACCCGCAAGAACACATTAGAAAGGAAACTGATTCTTCTCATTAGTGATATAAAGTTCAATTTCAATTGACTTGTGAAGTTAATTACGACTGTTTGGGTTAGACAGATTGCTTTTAAGTGTATTTCTAAATATAAATAGTCCTTAGTACTGTAATGGAGTTTAGAATAATTGAATTAAAAATAGTTTAATTTATGGCTCTTGTATTTTGTAGGAGATAAAATTAAAAATAAATAACACGACATAGAACTTTCATTGTCCCTCAACGACTTAAGTACCTACATATTTACTTATGTAAATCTATCTTTTACTAATATTATAAATGCGAAAGTTTAGATGGATGTTTGTTTTAAGGTTTCTCCAGAACGGCTCTACGGATCTCGATGAAATTTGGCACAGATGTGGAACATAGTCTGGAAGAACACATAGGCTACTTATTATAGCTAGTTTTTTTAATTCCACTCGGACCGAGTCAAGGGCGACAGCTAGTACATAATAATAAATATCTGTATGTTATATCGAAATAAAATTACATAATTTATGAAAATGATAAATTATTTTATATTTTTATCGGGAATGTAATTTTGTAAAAAAAAAGAGTCTTGACAGACAGACGGACAACAAAGTGATCCTATAAGGGTTCCGTTTTTTTCCTATGAAGTACGGAACCCTAAAAATGTGTTTAGTGCGCAATATATAATCCATAGCTAATCTTGTTAGGCTTAATGTAGATATCTCATGAAGTAATTTTTTAAAGGTCCCTTAAATGTGAATAATTGTTAGTTTCTAAGACTAAAATTCCTGTTTTAACCGTATCGTTATCCCTGTCATTATCATTGGTAAAACGGAGATAACAATATGTTTTTTACAATGTATATAAGTCTTAGAAACCAACGATAAGTGATTGTCGACTGTCCTACATATTAAGATTGAGTACCTGGATGACCGAGCTTTGCTCGGTATTTTTTTTTTCTTTAAATTGTGTTTTTTTGCAAATTATATTTAAGTACGAATTACTAATAAAATGATGAAATATGAATAATATTTTTCGATCTTACCGATAGAAAAAGTTAAGTTTATGTTTAAGTTGATTATCGATAAAACACGAATAAAATGACATTTTCTAAAAATTTATGAAAATCGTTGAAGCCGATTCCGGGATTCCAATTATATATATATATATATATATATCTATATATATGCAAGAATATATATATATATATATATATATATATTCTTGCATATATATAGATATATATATCTATATCTATATATATGCAAGAATTGCTCATTTAAGGATATAAGATAAGATAAGACAATAAAGATTAGTAATCTTAGTGTCCGCTAGATGGCGCGTGTCAGCGTAGTGAAAGTCGATAAGTACTTCTCACGACATAATTCCTTATTTAGTGTTGATGTAAAGAAAATAGACTACTTTAAATGGCCATATTACGTTAGTCACTTTAGATTAAATCTGACCAAATCACTGTTTGAAAATGATAGCTTTTGCTTTGTCCATTAAAGCACCGTTTCATCACCAGCTCACTATACGTCCCCACTGAGGTGCTCGGAGCCTACTCTAAGTTAAGGGTGATTAGGCCATTGTCAACCACGCTGGCCAGGTGCGGGTTGGTTGACTTCACACATATCTTTGAATTTCTTCTCAGATATGTGCAGGTTGCATCACGATGTTTTCCTTCACCGTAAGAACGTCGTATAAATGTACATATGTAAATCGGAAATCGAAAAACAAATGGCGGGATTCGAACCCAGGACTGAGCCACCGACGAATTCAATATTACAAACAGACAATACAATTTTATTTATATGTATATATAGATTTGAGGTATATACCAATGTATCAAGTTACTATGTTATTACACAAGTGAGAACGCATGATCGATGAGATTATACGATCTATAGCGGTGGCATGCCCACGCTGTCTAAAGGCATAACACACGCGTTTAGAACAGTCGTACGACTTATTGAACCAGCGGTAGCCAGACTCCGTTCGCATGTAATTAAAAACAATATAATTAGTAGCCTATATGTTCGTTAAGATTGTGTTCTACATGTATGACAAATTTCATAGAGATCCATTCAGCTTTTCTGTATACCTTCAAACAAACAAACAAACACCCATCTTAACAAGATTATAACAAACTGTGTAATGAGTTACTTAAGTCAGGATAACATATCGTCTTAGTTTATTTGTTTAACACATTATTTACCAAATTTAAAAGTGAAAATAAATATTTATCTTTGTAATTACGCAGAGATAAAGAAAGTTTTTTATTATAATAACGCGACATAAAAATAATTGATAAATTTATTCGTCCGTGTATGGCGATCTTTATCTTCGGTACTGTTAAATAAAATTGTTCAACTACCGCCCACGCGTTTGATTATTATAACCACGCAAGTACCGGTAAAAAAATGAATGATTGGAATAACGCATGTTTACCTTTGTCTTAATAATAAAAAAAAAGAAAAAAGTACTCTTGTTATGTTGTAAAGTAGCATGTTTAGTCTATGACAAAACAATTCTTTAATACTCATTACATGCATTTATAATCTGTCAGTTTATTTCACTGTTATTTATTTAAATCCAAAGTAATGAACATTTTCCAAACAAGATATGACCTAAAGGTCTATGTTACCAGGTCATAAAATTAAAAACAAATATATTTATTTAAATTTCTTTGAGCGTAATGTTGAATAGCTTATCTTACTTATATTATAAATGCGAATGTTTGAATGTATGGATGTTTGTAAGAATGTATCTCCAAAACGACTGCATGGATGTTGCTGAAATTTGGCATATATGTAGAATAGTCTAGAATACATAAGCAAGTTTTTTTTTAATTCCGCGCTGACGGAGTCGTTAGCGCCAGCTAGTAACTAATTGGACAGTCAAATGTTTTTAGGATTATTCTAGTTTAATTGGTAGTTTCTTATATAAATACTACGTAAAATTGTGGATTAACTACGACGGATGCATTATTTATACTTGGACCAAACATTCAAATATATCTTTCTCTTTCTTAAATAACCAAAAGAGATGAGTAGAATGTTACGGGAAGTAAAACCAGAGAGAAGAGTGTAGATATTGTTATCGAGAATCGCCCACGCGGCGCTACGTAAGAATGGCCCTAATTTAAATATACACATTAAGGTTAGTATACGGTCCAAGTTATAAACTAAAAGCTGAGATATCATCAGCTCACTATACGTCCTCACTGAAGGGCTCTTCACTATGTTTTCTTCCAGACTATCTTGTACATTTGTGCCAAATTTCATCAAGATCCATTGAATCGTTCTGGAGATAATCCATCTAAACATTCGCATTTATTAGTTAGAATTAAACAGCAACATCTAAGCAACTCTGTCTCTCTCTCTAACATTTCACTCAAATCGCTTCAGCTTAACAAATAAGTCACACCCAAACTTTCGTCTTCAACCAGACTTAATAAATTTGTGAGGAGATAATACAAAGCAGGTTACAAACCCTTTCCGTTCATACGACATGGGCATTCTTATCTTCATTACATTACAAAAAATTTATTACTTTTTAATATGATTATAACGCCTACACAACAAAACACATTCGACTTTACATCTTTGTACAAACATACAAATATTTATCAACAAGTTTTTGTTAAAATATTATAAATGCGAAAGTTTAAATGGATGGATGTTTGTTAGAAGGTATCTCCAAAAGGGCTAAGCGAATCGGAATGAAATCTGGTATACATATAGAACATATTCTGGAAGAACACATAGGCTACTTATTAAGATTGTTTATTACCGCGCGGACGGAGCCGCGCGCGAAATCTAGTTAATATATATTTTTAATAAAATATCAGTCAGTCTTAAAAAAATATTAATATTATACAAACCTTGGAATCTCATTACACGTGTGTTAAAAATTACGACCACTAAATTGTATATTAAAAATCATAGAACTTTGTTTTATAACCCGAGTTTACTTTTAAGGAAAATATACGTCCGTTCCATTCAAAGAACAAATGTGAAATGAAATATTAATATAATTAAGACGAAATTTATTTTTAACTTTCGTATTCTATTTATGAAAAAAAATAATCCCACACGTTGCAGACTAAATAAAGCTGCACAAACTCGGAGGCGAATAAAACAAAATTAGACGCACTTGTGACGTTAACACGCAAATAACTTTTGTCCCTTAATTATGTTTAACCGTGTGTTAACATTGCCGAAACATGCAAAAACTCTTGTGTCTATGGAAAAGCTGAGAAAACATTTTTCGTATATTACACTTCGAACCAAAGTCGAATTTGAACAAACAGAACAAAGTCGAAATCCATACATTCTGGTCATTACAATATTTAAGTAGATGGATGGATGTTTGTTAGGTTTTTCCGGAAATGTTCAACAGATTTTGATGAAATTTGGCTCACATGTAGTACATAGTCTGGAAGAACACATAGGCTACTTATTGCGTTTTTTTTTATACGCGCGGATGGAGACGCGGGTGACAGTTAGTTGTAAAGTAAGTGTAGCTAACTCTATAAAGTTATGTGAGAAAAAGTATAGTTTAGATATTTTTGGGTATTCGCGTAAAATCCAGCCCTGGAAATTACCTACATATGGTAACCATAGACAAACTACAGGGCTGGATTTGAAGCAGTTAGAGTAACTTGTAGAACAACCTTCCAACTCTAGGTGTTAATGCTAACACTATAAAATGCAACCTTGTTTGTATGATTTAAATTTTACAGTTACAATCCGATGAAGATTCTAAATACGAACTTTAGTGATGTACGCGCGATTGTAATATTGTTTATCGATATCGATATTAGCTATAAATCGATTTTTTTATGCTGTAAAAGTGTAGTTAAACTATAGGTTAATTGCATAACTAGATGTTGCCCGCGACTCCGTCCGCGCAAAATTACTATTTAAGTAAAAAAATTAATAAGTACACAATGTGTTCTTCCAAACTATTTTGTACCTTTATACCAAATTTCAGCGAAACCCGTTGAGCCGTTCCGGAAATATCTTCAAACAAACAAACATCCATCCATCCATCCATCTAAACATTCGCATTAGTACATAACATAGAAAGATAAGTAAATGATTTCAATTCTGTCTTGTCTTTTTATTTTGTGAAGAAAAAAAGTTACATATTTTTGTTGTTTTTCCACAATACACAACAGATTTAAGAATCTTAATAATATTATATTATATCGACTTACAAATTGAACACAAACATCGAATCTTTATCATCCCTAGATGCTATTAAATGTCAGAAAAAACACCCTGCAATCAACCCCATATTGGGCAGCTGTTCCCGTTAGACTATCTTGTTATTTTAGTAACAGACGAATAAATCTTAATACCTTACAATAAAGTTCAAAGTCCGGTAACAAAATTTTAATAAAACATAACCAGGATAATGCGACCTCTCGTTATTTATACAAAAGTTTTATAACGAGCATTTTAGTGTGAGATTGAATAAGCATGGAGGTCTTAATATATTGGTTTAAATAGTACCAATAATGAGCTTGTCAGGATAGCTATTATGGTACGGACCAGAGACACGAGAATCTGGAATGCATCTTTTTTTATACCTTCTCGGAACGTCTTTGTAACTGTATGTCGGTGATAAACATAGTATTTTTTTTATATTATGAGGTACAAACGAGCAAGAGGCCACCTGAAATCGCTGATATAGTGAAGTGACCGTTGCCCATAGACATACGCAATTGCATATGCGTTGCCTACCTTTAATCGACGGAGGAGAGGATGCACAGAAAGAAAATATTTTCCCTTTCCATGCATCCTCTCATCCGGAGAGTCCACTTCCACTTCGCATCCTTTCTTTAAAGGAAAAAGCGTGGAAAGGAAAAGAGGACTATATTAGGGCTGCGGGAGGCACACTCATCAGACTGTACCCGGAATTGCTTCCACTTGACGCCTGTCTTCTGTGTGGTCGTGGTATTTCACCGGGCCAGCCGGGACAATTCGTGCGAAGATGTTAAAGCGGGCTCTACTACTATTAAACATAATATAAAATATTCAATAATTAAGGCATTATTAGTTAGAAACCTTTGGCGCAAATGACGTGAAGTGTCCAGTGTCAGAATGAATAGTGAGGGGACATAACCGTCGACAATTTTGTAAGTGTTGAGTTAATACTGGCTTATTTTCGGATTTTCTTCCTAACACTACTAATACTAAAATATGAAAGTTTGGATGTAGGGATCTTACCCCGTAACTCAAAAATGGATTAACAGATTTGGATGAAATATGGTACAATTCTGTCCTAGATGCAGGTGGCACAAGACATTGTGGCGATCTTTAGGAGAGGCCTATGCCCAGCAGTGGGCGACTCATGGTCAGCCATGAGAGAGCCATTCTTGTCAGCAAGAAGATGGTACAAATATATTCTGGAATATCGTTTACGCAATTTTATTTAATTTTAATCAAACGAAGTCGCGAGTGTAGCTAGGATAGGATACAAATAAACACGTACAGAAACAATCCTAAAGTATAGGTTATGCAGATTTTGATTTAGTAAGAATTACATCCATCTTACTTACTAATATTATAAATGCGATGTTTGAATGGATGGATGTTTGTTATAAGGCGACAACGGCCGAATGGATCTCGATGAAATTTGGCATAGATGTAGATCATAGTCTAGAAGAGCGCATAGGCTAATACTTAAGTTTTTTTTTAATTCCACACGGATGGAGTCGCGGGCGACAGCTAGTACACTTTATGTAAGTATACTTTATATGATCTCTCTCTTTCTTTCTTTCTCTTTTTTTCTCATTCTTTATATGATCTCAGAGATGTCATTAAATGATCCTTTGTACAAATAATTGGCGATTAATTAACAAAGTCTTAACTAACGCAAGTTTTTAGAAAGCGCTTACAATGTTCAATGTACTTATATGTTACTAAATGCTAGGGTTGTCCATTTTTATAAAATAACATTTGAATTATAAAAACTAATTTATATTTATATTATTATCTTCAAATTCTGGATGACTACGCTACGATTTACATCCAATTTTTATCTTAAATTGTCAATGAATTATTTTTAAAACCGACTTAGTTAAGTCTATAGTTATAGATATATCAAAATAGAAGCCCTATAAAGGTTGAAATCCCACTACAGCAATTAATACATATAGTTGTCTTTGTTTTGTCAAAGAAAATAAAAAGGATGACAATATTCCTATACAAGTCGAAAGCCAAACACAATTAAGTATTCCAAAAACAAAAAAGGTATATTATACATATTACGTAATATATTATTTTTTGACAAATGTGCCAACCCTGATCACATTGGTGAAAGTGAACGACATGAGATGGAAATTAGTTAAGCGTTGAAATACACAGTAATTGGACGCCTGTCACCCAACACCTGGGACCTAACGATGTTCCCGGAGTTTGGCACGATAACAATGTTCCAACAACGGTGTACAGGACAACGACAGGACAGGACTTTGTCAGAGTCAATCAAAAGTACAAACAAACAGACCACCAACACACAACATAATTAAAATTAGACGAATTAATTATACCTAATGTTAATTTATAATAATAATTATAAGGCCACACGTAACCAGCTACCGAATTTCCCTCCAAAACGAGCGCCATCATGGCCGTACGTGTCACTCTGACGTCTGTCAATCGAGTCGCTGTCAGAACTAATTGCCGTTGACGTTTGGTTGGCAGCCATGATCATTCTTTACATTTTTACTTCCCCTAAACGTAAGTAAAAATAGTCTAACTGTTATTAGGAATTTTTTATTATAAAACAAGTCCTCAAATTTTTACCGACATACATAAAGTCACCCGACTCTTACTAATATTATAAATGCGAATGTTGAGATGGATGGATGGATGGATGTTTGTTTGAAGATATCTCCAGAACTACTGGACGGATCTCGACAAAGATTGGCATACATATAGAACATAGTCTGGAAGAGCATATATGCTTCTAGTTTCCACACGGATGGAGTCGCGGGCGACAGCTAGTAACGTATAAAGGACAAATATTTAAAATATATCAGCCTACCCCCATGATTCAACTGTACCCAACAGGCTCAAATCTTATACTGTTAGTTATATTAAACATCATATTAAAAGCGTTTAAATCAACCCATAAATCAACTGTCAAATACATGTCACTTTCGAATAGAAAGAGGTTACTAAATACGAGGTGTTGCCAGTAAAAACCGCAAAGTGCAGCAAACTGTATGTGGGTCAGTTGGTTGGACACGCGAAGCTTTTAGCATGTTAATAAATTAAGTTTCTTGTACTTCATTAAATTAAAAGAAAAAACGTTACTTAAATAATAAAGAAGTATTAAAAGAAAGTTTTAATTATAACTCAATGGTAATTAATAAAATAAAATGTCTTGTTATTTTTAGAAGTTAAAAGTTATTTAAAGGAAATAGGGAGTAATGAGGCAACACTGAGAACAGCTAAAGAAATATTTAAAAATAAATACAGAAGAGGAAACCGCAAGGTGACGAATTAGAACGAAGGTCGTATTTCAAAGACGAAGGAAATGCATTCAAAAAATTAAATATAGTTGCAGAGGCGTTGCGAGGAAACGATACATAGAGTTCTTTGCAAAATATTATAAATGATTAAGTATGACAACAACGAATGAAATTAAAAACTAAACTTAAGTTATAGAGAAATTATTCTCCTCAAAAATTTGAGTCCCTAAAATAATCTTTGGCTAAAAGGACCACATAGAGACAAAACGACCCAAGCAACGAAAAAAGTCATTTCTTAATTTCAGGGTAACTTTCTTAACTGGGTCAAATATGGGACTGGTCTTTATTTGTGTAGTCTTTTTAGGAGCATAATGTAACCTATCTCTTAATTGTGTCTAATCTACCTACGTATTCAAAGCTGTCAAAATTTCAACCATGATTAAAGATTTCTTTTGCACTTACCTCTACAACTTGCCTTAGGTCTTCGACGTAGACTTTCTCAGTCTGAACTATCTCCGCACATACTCTCTCCAGCTGCGATAGACCTGACATCTCGTCCAGTGTTTGTTGATCTGTAATAGAACGCTGGTACTGTTAATAAGAAAGCAATGCACTGCCAGAGATTGTAATGTCATCATCAGCTCACTATATGTCCCCACTCAAGGTTTAAAAGCCTACCCTAGGTTAGGGGTAACTAGGCCCAGTGCGGGTTGACTTCACGCATATCCTTGAGTTTCCTCGCAGATATGTGCAGCATCACGATGTTTTCATTCACCGTGAGAACGTCAGATAAATGTACATAGCAATCGAAACCAGGACCTGCAGTTTACAAGTTAAGGGGTAACCCCTGAGCCATCGACGCTCATTGGAATATCACAAAATTGGAATTGTTCAACAAATAGCGAATTTTCAAAAGAAAAGATATATGAGATTAATTAAGATTCAATTCTAGTTAACAATTATAATTTAAAAAAAATCTTAATATATTACTTTCATACTTTAGTAATTTAATACAATACATTTTAAAACTTTTAACAAGGTACGACGCCCTTACAGATCATTAATATTCTATGTTAATTAAAGGTAAACTTACGCGGCAAATTCTCCGAACACCCTTCAGACACGCTCGGGTTTAAAATGCCCGCATTATTAACAAAGTTATTACTGCCATTTGCAGACGTCATGTCGACGTCACTATGATCGTCTAGACTCTCGATCGAAGCCAAATATGCGGAGTTCACTCCTCCTTTATTTTGAACGCCACTGCTCGAAGTTGAACTAGAAGAGGCAATGGAACTCATAGACAGCGGTCGCGTCACTTCTACTTTTGGAGGATTTAATCTCGGCATCTCTTTTTCTGGGACCGCACATGATTTCAAGTTTCCCGTAGATCCTATTGTCTCTGGATATGGTCCAGTTTTCATTAGCTGATTTTCAACATTCTCTTTCTCTGGTATTAAGTTTCTTCTGTGCAAGCTGTTAGTCCCGACATTGAGGAGTTTCGGTGATTTTGCAGGTGAGGCTTCAGGTGAACCTTTTGGTTCAGGTTTTTGAGGTGAACATTCTTTTGATGATAATTTTATATCAAATTCTCTATCGTTAGACGTTATAGAGAGTTCGATAGATTGATCGATATAAGGTAGAGATAATGATTCGAAGGCAGTCTTATTTGAGTTGGGAACATCGTAAATCGCTGGCCTATTATTCGTTGGTATATCATAAGTTTGGTCTGTTTCTATTCTAAACTCAGGTTTAACTGCGACTATTTTGGATGGTGATTCATAATTATCTTCAGATGCAGCTTTGGATATATTTTTAAGTCCCGATGGTTGATCGTAAATTTCTACAGATTGTGAAATCTTTGAGGTAGCTCCAACTAAAGGGATATTGCATCTATGTCTTGTTGAAGATCTGAGTGTACTGATGCTTTTCTTTTGAAACTTCAATGTTGTTGTTTCAGACGCGCTTGAAATCATTCGTTTTACGTTTGGTGATAGATTATCGAATGTCGTAGTCTCAGATAATTGTTTAGTTTCTTTATAAGTCCTTTGTAATTTGTGTTCTTTAACATGTACATTATCACTGATTGGGAGCTCACGTTTAGTTTCACTAGCACCATTATTATCACTGTTAGTTCTAATACTATATAAAGAACTTTTGTTCAACGTCGCTATAGGTAATTTGACACCACCAACTATTTTGGAAGGATCTTTCGGTGGGGATTTTGATACATTTGTATTGTTAACTTCATCTTTTGTTTTATCGGTCATGATGTCTGTTTGGTTAGACACGGGTGGGTCGTTTCTAGCATCTTTGGCTGTTTCCAACAGATTGGATTCTGGTCTCAGACTTTTGTCAGGTTCCAATAGTGAGTCGTATATACCTATTAACGTCGGCGTGAGATCCGTTGTGCTACCTGTAACAAGAAAAAATTTATTATTCCTAATTCAAGTTTTACTTAGCCTTTATTTAATTAACTTGAATTGTCGACAATTACTATAATAATTTCTTATCTGATCTAGAATAAAGAACATAATTTTTAGTGCCTTAAACAGAAGCCTTTAAAGTAGCTGTAAAATGTACTCGTAAAAATTGGATTGTTATCTACACACGACTTCGGGCTTCTGTAATGCCTAACAAAAAGGCTTTTAGCGTTATTAAACTTATCGTGTTATAACCTAAGGGGTGCTACGTGTTGGATTTATCGCTTAGAATCCTTTCAAGTGTCAAAACTAGCAATTTTTTTACATTTTAAGATGCTCCTAACAGCTAATTTATGGCTTGAAACTGACGAATACTATCCAGATTGGAAAAATACTCAAGAAGGGTGGTATTGTAGCACCCGAAACCGAGGTGCATGTATGTATAAACGTATGAATGTAGAAGTAGCGAGGTGGTCAGGACCGCGTCAAATGGAGATCCGTGGTATCTGCCTATCACTCTGGGTTACGGTCGTGAGCCATGTTGTTGTATGTTAAGATGTCAATCGCCTCAATTATTGTTGGAAGGCACAAACTTTTAAAACTGAGTAAAGGGAATTAAAATTGACTATTGAAAGACTGTTAAATATTATACATGATAGAGTCGCGCCTCTATCGAAATGAAAAAAAAACCTTAATAAGTAGCCTATGTGTTCTTTCAGACTATAGCAAGTATCAGCGAGATTCATGCAGCCGTTCTGGAGATACCTTCAAACAAAACATCCATCCATCTAAACATTAGCATTTATAATATTAGTAAAATATAGCAATTTCAATGAGTTATTCTATTCTAAAATTTCATTATAATATCTTTGTATGTTCTGATTTTATCATATTATGTCACCGGCAAATGTTTCCAAAATGGCGTCTTAACAAAAAGAAGTATAAATAGTCAAAGACGCTACGAGGACGAAATTACCATGATCGTAAAAGGTACATCTCACTCTAAATATTAGGGTGACCATATCGCTAGGAATGTTTGAATACAATTGAATTTGTTTATCAAGAATATCGAGATGATAAAAAAGGAAAGTAACACTGAATTATGTGTATAGTGAGTTTACGATAAGCTTAAAGTTTTGTTTTTTTTCATTACGGATTTTTATTAGTATTTACTGTTGTAATTTTTAATTCATTTAACTCCCAAGTAGTATAGGGAAAGGCAGGCGACCAGTCGTAACAATTGAAGCCAAAACATTAAGGAATAAAAAAAATAGTGACTGGGATAAGAACGGGAGATGATGATATACATAGGAATGCAATTACAAATATTTTTTTCTTCTCTTTCTATTTGAAAAATTGTTTTTTTTTTTGACTAAAACATTTTTATTAATCTTTGAATATTTCTATTATTATTTATTATTCAAAAAAGAACTTTGAATTATCCCACGGACATTAAAATCATGGTTACCCTACTGAGAAAATTACCGGTCGTTTAATATATGTATTAGTTAGTAACTTTTAATGCAGGCTTTTACAAATTTGATTAAGGTTAAGAGTATTGTGGGGTTATACTCTTAGATAAGATTTAAATGGACGCTTTAAATAGAATAGATTTAAGAACGTCGGATGAATGTACATATATGTAAATCGAAAATCGAAAAACCCTTTGGTACATGGCGGGGTTCGAACCCAGGACCTGCAGATTGCAAGTCAAGTGCTTGACCCCTGAGCCACCGACGCTCGTAAAACATACGGCTAACAACAATGACAATGTTTTTTTCTGGTAATGAACAAGATAAAATGTAGAGTTACATAAGACTATAATAAGGTTAATGTCCTAGGTCAAATACACAACGGATGTCAGTCATTGCTAAGGTCTCAGGTTCAGTGGACCAATTGGTAAGATGGCACAGCATCTAGCTAATTATTAATACGATCAATTATACGACCCGGACATGTGCGTAAAATACGATGTCAAGGATATGCTAAAGAAACCATTTAGCTTTAGTGTTTTTACTAACTAGAGGCCTATCTAAGCGTCGTAGAGGTGACAATTTTTTTTAATACTTTATAAAGTTTTTTTTTAATCAGTCCAATCGTTTATGATTTTATTCTAGACGTATAAAATACAAATCTTTTCTATCATACTTCCTATTAATATTATAATATAAATGCATACGCATTGATAGATGTTTCCTCCCTATGAAGTCCTCCCTAACTTAGGGTAAGCTCCATGCCCTTCGGTCGGGACGTAAAGTGAGCTGATGATGATGAAAGTTAATTACTTAGTTATTTTATTTGCTAATTATTGTCTCTTAAAATGCCTGTAAGTCTATTTAAATACTTCTAATACAAAAATCTAGATACTTCTTAACCTAAATATTTAAAAAGGATGTCCTTTTGCTGTGTCATTCGTGCTCTAGTTCAACAATATCCAATTTATTGAAATGGATTCATTTCCTTTAGTTTTGCCACAATATAGAACGACACTAAATATAGACTTATCTATGTGGGAAATGGACTACGAACCTAGCGTTTGTTCTGATTTGTTAGCTCCGATGAATAAGGTTTGGTTACTTCATTAGTTGAGTGGTTTTGGGCGTCGGCTTTATCGTAGATTTCGTGCAGTGATTTAACTAAACGCGTTACAAGTAAGTTAAGTCTAAATTCTACACAATGGTTTTCTTATCATTGCACTTTCATATATGTCAGCTCGAGAGGAATTTCAATTTCTATTCAAGAATTGCTTCCTTTTCACTTAGTGGTTGGACTTACTAGTTACTATTTGTCCCCTGCGAATTCGTCCGCACAGAATTAAATAAAAAACTATGTTTTTGTGAATTATGAATAGCCTATGTGTTTTTTCAGACTATCTTCTACAATATCATAAAGCTCCGTTGAGCCATACAAAAATACCTTCACAAAAAACATTCATCCATCCATCTAAGCATATAATATTAGTAAGATGTATGCTTCCTGGTGTTTATTAGTCGATCGATCAGTCACGTTAGTTTTCTATATTTACTTATAAACAAACATGATAAAGCTAATAACATAACAATTATTTATGTTCTGACTAATATAGACAATAGTGAATTAACAACACGGAGTAATTAGTTATGATTTATTCAATAAATTGTTATCGGATACAGTCACCGACTATCGGATACGATCAGAGCTTGCGACAGAACACGCAATGCGACGTAACCGTTCAACAATTCCAACAATACCATTATCCTTGAACTAATAACCTTTTTCGACCCGATTATACCGGAGCTGGGGTAACCATGAAATTTCATTTTTAAGGACTGCCGTGAAGAAATTTGGTACTATTAATACCTGTGTAACTTTATTGAACGTAAGTCGAAATACTCTTTCGGAAAATAATACAAAAATTATTTTATTAAGCTTTCAGTATTACATCTTGAATGATTAATGGAATTATTTTGGTTATAAAATTTTTCAAACTTTCGTGAGACATTATACTAAACTGATATATAAACACGGCTAAATTTTGATTAGTAAATACCACTAATAATTCGTAAACATTTAAAATCTATACGCGTTTTTTTTTGGAAAAAAAGTAATTATTCGCGTTAAGACAGAAATAATTTACAGATAGTTATTAATGGAACCGCGTAGACCAAACCCATTTTAATAATATGTTTGTGTCAGGACAATCCGTATTATTAGCTTCGTGTGGCTACAAGAACTCGGTACAAAAGCGTGATATCGTACATGACGAATACCTGTAGTATGATCGCTGACAAATTCTTAGCACAAAATGTTACCTATTGTTACATCTAAAGGTAATAAGTTATTACATTTGCTATTGCTCTGTTTGTTCCTGTAAGTGTGGAACTTGTTAATGTTTCCAAGTACAACGTAGCAGAATGTAGGATTAGATTAGATTACATTAGATTACATTACAGATTAGATTACATTACATTACAGATAAGATTACATTACATTACAGATTAAATTACATTACATTACAGATTAGATTAGGTTAGGTTACATTACAGATAAGATAACATTACAGATTAGATTACATTACAGATTAGATTACATAACAGATTAGATAACATAATAGATTAAATTACATAACAGATTAGATTACATTACAGATTATATTAATTACAGATTAGACTAGGTTACATTACAGATTAGATTACATTACATATTAGATTACATTACAGATTAGATTAGATTACATTCCAGATTAGGTTAGGTTACATTACAGATTAGATAACATTACAGATTAGATTACATAACAGATTATATTACATACCAGATTATATTAATTAAGGATTAGATTAGGTTACATTACAGATTAGATTACATTATAGATTAGATTATATTACAGATTAGATTACATTACATTACAGATTAGATTAGGTTACATTACAGATTAGATTAGGTCACATTACAGATTAGATTAGATTACATTACAGATCAGATTAGATTACATTACAGATTAGATTACATTAGATTACATTACAGATTAGATTACATTAGATTACATTACAGATTAGATTGCATTAGATTACATTACAGATTAGATTACATTCGATTACATTACAGATGAGATTACATAACAGATTATATTACATACCAGATTAGATTAGGTTACATTACAGATTAGAGTACATTATAGATTAGATTAGATTAGATTATATTACAGATTAGATTAGGTTACATACCAGATAAGATTAGGTTACATATTAGATTAGATTAGGTCACATTACAGATTAGATTAGGTTACATTACAGATTAGATAGGATTACAGATTAGATTACATTACATATAAGATTACATTACAGATTAGATTACATTACAGATTAGATTACATAACAGATTAAATTACATAACAGATTATATTACATACCAGATTATATTAATTACAGATAAGATTAGGTTACATTACAGATTAGATTACATTACAGATTAGATTAGATTATATTACAGATTAGATTAGGTTACATCACAGATT